GACGGGGCCGCCCCCGCCATGACAGCAGCGCCGCCCCCGGCCCCCACCCCGTGTATTTGGGGGCATTTTGTCAGAAATCAGCAGGTTTTCCCCCGCACTCTGCCCTCGGAGGTGGAACTCAGCCCCCCCCTCCCCTTTTTGGCATCTCTGCGCAGTAAAGCTCCTGCACGGGTGTATTTACTCAGGTCCTTTTATTAGAGAACTTCCTTTTTTCCCTCTCTCTCTCCTCTCCTTCCAGAATTTCACAGGTTGAAGAATTAGCCCTCCGACCACCCGAAGCTTGGAAATAGTGACACTGCGTCTCTCAAACTCTGCGTTTATCTTCCATTGCAAAATACAGCGCCTAAACCCCACAGCCCGCGGTAACGACTTCCTCCGCTCTTCAAAAACCGTCCCCCACCCCCGAAACGGGGAACTCGCCTAACTTAATTACACCCGCTATAACTTCCTACACCAGCGAAACAGCAGTAATTCTGGTTAAAATACCTGAAAAAAATAACGTGTAAAAGTCACCGTGAACGGCTGCAAATTTTAATGCCCTTCAGGGCTGTAAGCAGGGCCAACACTTCCACTAACAAATTTTGTGGGCGAAAAATGTGTAGTAAGTGCGATAGGCTTGTTTGCCAGGGCTAATGATCGGTGTCTACCCAGCAGCTAACAGCTGACGCAGAGATCAATAATAACCATGGGATGTCACTCAGGCACCTTCTGAAAAAGTACTGTGGTAGGGAATTAGCTGGTTTGGTTATTAAGCCAGCTAGTTTGGTTATTAAACTCTTGGTGCACCTTTCAGGACTGACACCGTACACCCATTTTTGGGCTTGTTTTGGTCAACCTCTCTTCCCCCTTCCATCAGGGAAGATCCCACGGGCTGGTTTCAACCAGCACTGGCAACGGGGTGGGCTCACAGACAATAACTTTGGTAGGCTTTATTTTATTATTAGTTTTAATTAACAGCCAGGGAGAGGCCCTTAAAGTAGAGCCCTTGCTGCAGAAGCAACCGCTAGACCCTCTGTCTTGCATAGCCGCAGGAGGGATCTCATAAGGCTGAGGATACGCCTTGGGAGAGAAAGGGGCTGACGGACGCTGGATTTCAGATGTTTAGGTCGCGGAGGACACAGCGTGCAGGAACCTAAAATCAAGGGTCCTGCCAGCGCTCTGCTTGCTGAGATGCTCCTAGACATGCAGTGCAACCCAGTAGTTTTGATTTTGTTACCTGCAGTTTAACACAGTTTGTCTCTGCTTTTTCAGCCCAGGGGTTACTGATGCTTTGCCTTTTAAGAAGCTTTGCTATTTTAGTGAACGGCTTCCTTGCACATCCCACTTTTCTCTTGCTACCATTGAGTTCTGTTAAGTCAACAATTCTCAGCTGACTCACAAGTAGGTCAGAAGTCAAAACATTCTGTAAATAATAAATGCTGTGTCCATTTTGTTTGCTTTTTTTTAAACCTGCAACATTTATTTTTTCAAGACCTTCTCTACAAGTAGAAGCATCAAAAACCTTTTAAAAGAAAATCAAATCTGCAGGTCTCATAACTGCCTGACACTAGCTGAATATTTGAGGGAAACACCAGCGTTACAAGACTTTTAAAAAAAAAAAACCCATGCTGGCCAGCAACATTTCTATGCTATTATTCAGCATACATATGTGTGCATAGTGCTATTTAAACAGTACTTAAAAAACAAATACACAATCTCTGCCTCATGGAATCTGCAGTACAAAGGCTTGGTCCTGTAAGATGCTGAATATGACAAAAGAAGCCTGTATTTAACGCATGAAAAGCTTAAAAAAAAAAAAGCAGAAAAGCAATTAACCTGATAAATAAGTATAAGTTGCGGCATCCTGACAGCCAAAGTGGTCAGGACCTTATTTCTGAAAGTTCTCCCACCCTTATGCTGAAAACATCTACATTCATTTTATTTCCTTTCTCTTTTACATCTTTTACATCTACTTTTACATCTACTTAGGCAGGTTACCTGAGAGACGGTATCTTAACCATATTCATTAATGATGTTTTTGCAGTGCCAGCAGCTGCCTCTCCCGTTACTAAATACCGCTACAGAAACCAGCATTGCGTTGTGACGCCTGCAGTAAGCCTCAGGGGCGTTTGCTTTTCTCACTTCTCCATTCTAGGATGTGTGGGCTAGATGGGAACTATCATAGCAGATTAGCCCATCTGTTCAGCATCCCCCGCAGCACTGCGATGGATAACAACTACTTCAGAGTATATACTTTTTTCCCCCTTCCCCTCCCGGGTTTGCCTTCATGGGCGGACAGCAGGTTCCTGTTTGCACTTCGCGGGATGCTCCGGCGCTCCGGTGCGAGCGCTTATCCGTACTCACCCGCCCGGCAGCGGGAAGGCCGGTACACCCCCACTCCTAACCGCCGCCGGACGCGCGGGGGCAGGCCCACGCCGA